CCCCACGGGATGTGGCCGGGGGCTCTTGGTGCCAGGATGGGGACTGGGGGGCCCGTGAATGTGAACGTTCTCCTTTCTTTCTTCTTTTTCTTTTTTTTTTAATTTAATATAAAAGGTTTAACGAAAAATTGCCTTTCGCGGTGGCAGGGGGCAGAGGGGACATGGGGACGGAGAGGACGTGGCCGTGGGGTGAGGGCATGGGGAGGGGGAAGGACATCGGGAGCACGGAAGGACGTGGGGACCAGGGAAGGACATGGCCATGGAGCCGTGTTGCCTGGATGGGGCAAGGATGTGGGGATGGAGGAAGGAGATGGGGAGAGGAGATGGATGTGGGGATGGAGGAAGGAGATGGGGATAGGGGAAGGAGCGGGGATGGAGCCGTGGGAACAAGGGAAGCAGGTGGCCCTCATTTGGGGACATGGCCATGGGGCAAGGTCCCCGTCCCGAGCCCCGGCTGTGCCCCCACCGCTCCTTTGATCATGTGTAGCCTTATTTTGCAAGGAGGAACAGCTGTAAATCTTCCTGGTCTTTGTATATTTTATTTTGTATTAAAACAGAAAAGCTGCTCTGCTGTGTGGGATTTACAGAGCGTGTGTCACGTGTGCATGTGCATTGTGTGTGGGTGTGCATTGTGTAGGGGTGTGCATTGTGTGTAGGTGTGCATTGTGTGTAGGTGTGCATTGTGTGTAGGTGTGCATTGTGCATGGGTGTGCATTACCTATGGGTGTGCATTGTGTGTAGGTGTGCATTGTGTGTGGGTGTGCATTGTGTGTAGGTGTGCATTGTGCACGGGTGTGCATTACCTATGGGTGTGCATTGTGTACGGGTGTGCATTGTGCACGGGTGTGCATTACCTATGGGTGTGCATTGTGCACGGCTGTGTGTGTGCATGTGTGGACAGTCCTTGCAGGGGCCCTGCAGGAAGGGAAAACGCCCTTTGCCCTTCGCCCTTCGCCCGTAGCTGCTTTTCGGCCCCCTCCAGGACGAGTCCCTTATTGCAACTCACTAACGGGCTCTGGCCCTTTAAGAGGCTTTCGCTGCCGCTGGCCCTTTAAGGCGCAGGCGCCGCTGCTGCC